CCCACACACTCACTCCTGTGCCCCCTCCATGGCAACTGCAGTGGCTTCTCTGGGGCAGGTAAAGGGACCCCCAAAGGGGCTGGGGGAGAGGGACCCCCCCCACCCCGCAACCCCAGCTGGGGTGAGTCTCTGCTGTCCCCAGCCCCAGCACAGGGGCTGTGTGACCCCTGGAGGTGGGGTAGCTGTGCCGGGAGGTGCTGATGGGGCAGGTCACTGCTTGCGGAAGATGAGACTCTTGTTGTTGGCAGGCATGTCCACCTGGAAACACAGAGCCTGAGGGTCGGGGGGGGGTCCCCACCAGTGCAGGGACTGTTGTCCCCCACCCCAGACCCCAGCACCTACCATCCTCTCCAGGCGCAGCCCGTTGGCCTCAGCCAGCTGCCGCAGCAGCGCCGTGTCCCGAAGGCCCCACGCAGGATTCCTGCCGGGGAGGGAGGCCTGGGTCAGACAGACAGACAGACATCTCGCCCCTTACCATCCTCTCCAGGCGCAGCCCGTTGGCCTCAGCCAGCTGCCCCAGCAGCGCCGTGTCCCGAAGGCCCCACGCAGGATTCCTGCCGGGGAGGGAGGCCTGGGTCAGACAGACAGACAGACATCTCGCCCCTCCATCCCCCCAAAACATCCCCAATGCTCCTTGAAGCATCCCCATCTCCCAGGGCAGCCTCCCTGACCGTTGCTTTAGGTCTTCCTTTGAAGGACCACGCAGGGTGGGAGCTCACTGCAGGCAGCACAGGCAGCACAGGTAGGACAGGCAGCACAGGTAGGACAGGCAGGAAGGGCAGGATGGGCCACCAGCACCCCTGGGACCCCCAGCTCCCCTCTCCTCCCTGTCCCTCAGGCTGCGGTCGAAGTCCACATTGCTCTGGGGCCTGATCCTGCCATCCACAGCGTAGGGCTGCAGGGACACGGAGCCACAGCTGCAGGCACCAGGCACTGCCTGTCCCCTCCCTGGGCCCACAGCCCCACCCAGCCCACAGGCTGCTGTCCCCACCAGGCACAGAGCCACCACACCTTCTGTCACTCCCCACAGGTCCCATTGCCCTCCATCACCTCCCTGCCCTGGATGGGTCCAGGATCCCTCTTGTCCTGCAGCTGAGCAGCCCAAGCAGCCCCACCAGAGCTCAGCACATGCCTCAAAAAGCTGA